AGAAAGCTATTTTCTAGGAAACCAAGAAATGATGGAGCATTTCTAATTACATGGCTGTATTCAGCAAAGAACGGGCTACATTTTGAAAAAAAGTTACGGATAGCAGAAGTGACGACGAAGAAAGAAAGGTTGTCAAAACAGTCAGTCAGGTTATGTATAGTCTAGCTAGTCAGACAATCAGACAGTCTAGATAGTTAGACATACATACATTTGTGTTAACTTGTATTTTCTTTATTCTGTTTTGTTTATGTTGAATGTTTACTTCTTTATATGACGCAATATAACGATGATTGTCGAAATATTCACTGCAAAAATATCAGAATCGTTGAAAAAACAGCCCACAATCTCAGCCAGACATAGTGCTACCCATCCCCTTCCATGAAAAACAAAAATAATAATCATTTTAAAGTGAAAAATTTTTTTTTTTTCATTTTTTCTCCACAAGGGTTTTCTGAAAACCTTCCGGAAAACCAACATTGCGTAATATTGGAATGTTATCAAATACCCAGTTTTGTTCAGTTTTTCATTCTCTATCGAATGCTGTTTGTGCGAACTCTCCATGATTTTTGCTTGTTGAGTTATTTAAATGTCAAAAAAATGACCATATATAATAACTTCCAACAAGAATTAAAAATTTAAATTTAGAGTTGGAAACTCGATTTTTTTCCAAAATGTAGCCCGTTCTTTGCTGAATACAGCCATGTAATTAGAAATGCTCCATCATTTCTTGGTTTCCCAGAAAATAGCTTTCTTGTTGACCAATGGGTCCAAAAACCATGGTTTTCTAGAAAACGTACTTCTGAGCACTTTGGACAAAAGTGTCCGCTAGACAAAAGAAAGAGCATGGTCTGAAACCCTTAAGTTCCAGATAGCGTTAAGTTTGGTCAAAGCTGAGAAAAGTTAGCCTAGACCAACTTTCTCATGTAACACGGCTATTACTTCAGCGTTCAATAATTTCATTTGAATAAATTACAGTTATTTAGATGCAATATGAATAAATTCTTGAACATTTTTCTGTATAGACACAGACCAAGATAGACACCGAAACTCAAAAAAGTAATATCACTGGAGCCAAGCCACTATAAAAGAAGTTGTTGAAATCGGGACAAAGAACTCTTCGCTCAACACATCTCTACTTCTTACTCACTTAATTAATGTAATTGACAAAATTTTTTCTATTATTTCGATTTTAGGCGCATGGCTCATTACTGGTGGTACAAATGCAGGTATTATGAGGCTTGTTGGTGATATTGTTGGAATGAATTCCGATCGTTTTCGACGTATTCCTTTAATTGTAAGTCTCATATAACCAACGAATCTTAATTTTTGTTTCAACAATAAAATAATACTAGGGTATTGCTACTTGGGGTTGTGTGTGTGATTATACAGATCTTGATGTACATGGTGGAAATGTATATTTTGGTAAATCAAGTAGTGATAAAAAAGGTGAAGCACCATTGGAAGCCAATCATACAAAATTTATTTTTGTTGATGATGGAACCGCAAAAAAATTTGGTGGAGAAATAACTTTTCGTGCTCGACTTGAACAAGCTATTTCTCGTGGATATTTGGAATCAAGAAAAATACTACATTCTAGTAATCCACATGCAAGTTTATCAGAACCTTCATCTTTACAATCAGAATATTCAGGTTAATATGAAAATATAATTTTATTTTTCGAATAATAAATTTTCCTTCGATATAGATGCTGTACCTGTTGTTCTTCTTGTTGTTGAAGGCGGTCCAAATACAGTTCGAACAAGTAGAGAAAATTATTTATTTAAAAATTAAAATTGACATTTATTTGTCTGTAGTTCATCAAGCTGTTGTTGAAAATAATATTCCAGCTGTTCTGCTTGATGGAACAGGTCGTTGTTGTGATTTATTTGCTAAAGCATTTCGTCTTTATAACAAATATTATGTTGAACTTATTGATGAAACATTAGCAAAGTAAATATGAAAAGAGAACTGTTCATCTCGTTACACTAACTTCTAAAAGCTATTTGTTTTGAATATTCAAAAATTCATCGAATAATTCAATTTCGTAGAAATGGTGAATCAGAAATAGAAAGAATTCCATACAAGGTGAAATTGAATTCTGACATGAGTTGCAAAAGAAATTAAAAACGATGCCAAACTTCGTTACATCATATTACAGACTTATAAAACAAACACAATTTTTTTTTTCTAGGGCGAATTTAGGGGAGGGGGAAAAAGCCAAAAAAATCTCAAAAAAGAACTCTTGCAAGACTTTTTTAATTTAAAAAATCGGTGTTCTACAATTATTTTAGAGTGCATGTTCTAAAACGGAGTCTTTGGCTACAATTATGAGTTTCTAAGAACATCAGCCACCATCTCCAGAAATTATGTATGAACTCAATACTTTTTGCGTTATTTGCTCGAAATATGTCAGATCACAGAAACTTAGCAAAAAAAAGATAATTCGAAAAATAATTTTTTACGATTGCAAAATCATCAAGTAGTGTGATCGACAAAATTATTCTGTCTCTTTAATAAAGAGCAAATTTAACTTCCAATGTGCCATTGAAATGGTCACTCGTTATGATACAAAAATCTAAATGTGTTTCTTCCATACTCTTCTGATATTACAAAAGAAAAATAATAGAAATGAATTTAATGTGGTTCGATGAAGATGTTGCATGAATTTTTAAGAGACGTTTGATTGTTCGGCTTTTCCTCCTACCCAATTTCGTTCTGGAAAACTATGCCTAGTACAAAATTTATGATTTAGATATCGCTCTTTTCAATAAAAAAAGGAGAACATATTTGATTACTTTTGAAGTTGGTAATATTATCCAATCGACTTAAACATTTTTTTTCATTTCTTTTGTGACGAATGTTATTCATAGCATAAAACAAGAATATGACATACTGGAATGAATTTTTACTGAAAACCAAGTTTTTGTTGTTTTAGTGTTGATCAAAGTATTTTAACAAAATGTCACAATGAATTAAAAAGTAAACTTCGTGAAGAACTTAAAAATGAACTCCGTGGAATTAGTGGTGCAAGAGATAAACCAGCTACATCGAATACCAATGCAAGTCTTGATGATAAAACTGATTATTTTGAATTAATTTATGAATGCATTTGTACTCGAAAAGATTTTATAAATATAATCAGTCTTGATCCAGATAATCCAGTTGAACTTAATATTGATTTGGTTATATTACAAGCGCTATTAAATGGTTTGTCAAAAAAATGAACTTAATTGATGACTTATTTGAATGAAAAAAAATTCTTTATTTAGCTGCTTCTGCTAATGATAATAGTAAAACAGATATTCAAAAAAAACGTGAACAACTTCATTTAGCATTAGAATGGAATCGTGTTGATATAGTGAAAAATTATATCATGAAAAATCATCGAGATTGGGAAGTAAGAATATGAAATAAATTTCTTTCGGAAAATTCTTTTCTAATTCGTTTTTTTTTTTTTGTTTTATTTTCTATCATTAATATTAGAAAATTGATTTAAAAGAATTGTTTTTATTGGCACTTAAACGTAATCAAATAGAATTTGTTAAATTATTTCTTGATCATGATTTTTCATTAACTGATTTATTTCGAAATAAGAATGAATTTCTTCGACTTTATATGATGGACAAGAAAGAAGTAAAAATAATTTTTATTTGAATATTAAATTCGAGGGAGAAACAGCGAACCTCAAGAGACTTCAAGACTATGTGAACGTTGGAGATACCTTAGAAATCGATTGTAGATGATTGTGAGTGTAGATGTGAAGGGATCAAGGGAGAAAACGAATGATTTAAATTATTCATAAATTCGTCGAAAATAATCAAAAAATACCTGAATTTCAATGACTCACTAAAATTCACAAATTATTACTTTGTCTTTTGAAAAGAGTGGTGTTGCCATCGATATGGACATTCGTATCAGCCACAACCACCCCATTTACAAACTTCATAAAACCTTGAGTTATTAAGTATGATGTTTTTTAAGTTCAAATGAGCTTCAGCATTCTTAATAGATTGACAAAACAATGAAAATTCACATTTTTGCTAAAATAAGATCATCACAAACCAAGCAGCTAAGTTGATTTCTCTTATGAATTTCTCATCCACCATGTATACGTCAAAAATTTTAGAAGATCTCATGAGATTTCAGCAAAATTGAAGAAACTTCAAGGTACTTCACAACTGAAGTCTGTGTTGTTTCTCCCTCGCCTAAATTGAAATACGTTTCTTTTTACTTTATTGCAAAAAATACAGACTGATGATTTTACAAATTATTCTGAAGATCCATTACGAATGATATATGCAAGAATAATCCAACCATTAATAGGAGACTTTTTTCAAATTGATAATGCATTCTCTCCAAGACAACGGGCATTAAATCTTAAATCAACTGATAAAAATGACGGTGCAACATGCCGTTGTTGTGGATCAAGACATAATCATACTTCTTCAGATGGTCATCAGAGTGCTTCTCTACAATTAGCACGTAAGCTTTATTCTTATTGGTTAAATCTAATATATCTTCAAAATGTTATAAAAAATAATTTGTCTTACTTTCTCAGCTAGTTGAAAACTTTTCTCAATAAAATTCAACATGATAAGATTTCGTATGCAAAATATTCCTTATGCATATATTGAAATAATATTTTGTTTTTGCATGAGTCTGATTATATTTGAATGTTTCAAATCTCCTAAGATATAAATGAGCTAAAGAATATTCAAGTGGAATAAATATTACATAATTAAGAAAACAGTTATGAATAAAAATATTTTATAGAATATAAAGGGTGTTCCAGAAGTTCTGTAACGATTTGTATAATAAATTTTTCTTTAGTAAATCGCGCGGTTGAAAATTTGACTCTATAAAGAAAAGATGCAGTAAAAGACGCTCTACAAAATGGCTTTTGATTGACCCCGCTAGCTCATCTAGTAAGAAAGTTATAGGCTTAGAAAGGT